TTTTTTTGGTCTTTTTGAGACAGGGTCTCTCTATGCAGTTCAGGCTGATCTTTTTTTTTTGTTTTTTTTCTGGTAGTGGGAATTGAACTCACGACCTTGCGCTTCCCAGGCAGGCGCTGTGCCACTGAGCTAAATCCCCAACCCCTTTTTTCTTCTTTTTTTTTTTGGTTCGGCTGATCTTGAGGTCACTTTGTAACCCAGGCTGGCCTGGAACTCGCAACGATCCTCCTGCCTCAGCCTCCCAAGTGCTGGGATTACAGGTGTGCGCCACCACGCCCAGCTATTTATTCCTTCTTAACTGCTCTATTGTATGAATAAACCACAACTCATTTATTACTTTATTATTATAAAATTCTCATGTGTTGCTTAATGAGGGGGATACATTCTTTCTAAGGAATGTATCAGCAGGAAATTTCATCATCATGTGAACATTCTAGAGGGTAGTTATACAAAGGTAGATGGACTAGGTCAGTCATTCCATATGATCTTTGTGCACACGCATGTGTATGCATGTGTGATACTGGGGGTTGAATCCAGAGCCTTTGTCCTGAGCTACAGCCTTGGCCCTTTTTTATTTTATTTTGAGACAAGGTCTCATTAAACCACTAAGTTGCCTAGGCAGGGCTCAACTTGGAGTTATAGCCAGGTGTGTGGTTCATGCCTGTAATCCCAGCACTCAGGAGGCTAAGGCAAGAGGATCAAGGCCAACCTGAACTATATAGCAAGACCTTGTCTCCAAAAAAACCAAGGCAACCCCTCCCCACAAACTTGCAACCTTCCTGCCTTAGTTTCTCTAGTAGCTAGGGGATATAGGTGTGTGCCACTACATCAGGTCTTTTGATGCAATCAAGAGCTGCAGGAAGCATGAGATGTATGGTACTATACTTTTCACTGTTATTTCAGAATGCTCCTACTTTTTTTGAGACAGGGTCTTGCTAGGTAGTTCAAATCCAGCCCTACTTACTATATAGCCCAGGCTGGCCTTGAATTTACAGTGATCCTCCTTCCTCAACCTCCCAAGAACTGGGATTACAGGCACATTCCACCATGCTCTGCAGAGTACTACTACTTATACAAAGGTCAGTGTAAAATAGTTTGCGGTGTGATGCTGCCAGCAGCCTCATATCCTGTGTTTACCATTTGACAATTGTATCAAGAGGCCAGTTTTGAGTAACTGACCTGTGACATTCAGGTTTAAGTACACTCTGTGATGTTTGCATAATGACAAAAACATCTAATGAAAGCTGGGCATGGTGGTGCACACCTGTAATCCCAGCACTTAGGAGGCTGAGGCAGGAGGATGCTTGCGAATTCTAGACGAGCCTCGGCTATAAAGTGAGCTCAAGTCCAGCCTGAACTGCATAGCGAGACCCTGTCTCAAAAAGACAAAAAACAAAACAAACCAACAAAAAAAGACAAAAAACAACAACAAAACATCTAGTGACACATTCTCAAACCACATACCCTTTGCATATGATTCCTAGAGAGAAGAAGGAGATGGGGGAATCAAAATTGATTAAGATATGTTATATATATCCAGCAATTCTCCGAAGTGAATGTAAGTACCATGTATTGCAAACATACCAATAAAAAAATTCCTAATCAAGCTCCCATCCCCAAAAGTATGAAACTCATTGTTCAGGACCCTATTTGAGTCATTCTCAAAGAAATTAGCATCATCTTTCTGGTACCCCAGAGGCTCAGGCCATCAGAGGTCAGGAACGTGGGAGTATCTCTGGGAAAAGGAGTCCCTTGGAGATTTCCATGTAGGCCTCGCTGTGCCATGGAAGAAAGACGCAATACATAGATCCAAAGGCAGCTCCAGTGTTGGGGGACTGCCTTCCTGCAATGAAGGAAGGGCTGACCTCTAACTCCCCACTTTGCCTGCCCATCTGTTAGGTGATGTTCCCTGTTTTCCTGGGTGAGCAAGTATCTTCTGAGCTGCTGGCAGCCACCTTGGCAGAGTTGGATGTGACCCTGCAGGTACTTGAGGACAAGTTTCTCCAGAACAAAGCTTTCCTTGTTGGGCCCCAGATCTCCCTGGCTGACCTGGTAGCCATCACAGAGCTGATGCATGTAAGTGTTGGGTGCCAGGTGGGCACACTAGATGAGTGGAGGGGCTGGCCAGTTGCTGAAGTCCTGTTTATGCTGCCCCACCAGGCTGTGGGGCTGTGCTTATGTGTGGGAACCCCTCCTGAGCGCTGGAGATCTCAGACCAGGTAGATGAGGTTGATCCTTGGCTTCACTCATCCGTCCTCATTGTGTCTCTTTCATGCTATAGCCGGTGGGGGCTGGCTGCCAAGTCTTTGAAGGCCGACCCAAGCTGGCTGCATGGCGCCGGAGAGTGGAGGCTGCAGTAGGAGAGGACCTCTTCCGGGAGGCCCACGAGGTCATCCTGAAGGTGAAGGACACACCACCTGCTGACCCTACCGTAAAGCAGAAGATGATGCCTAGGGTGCTGGCCATGATCCAGTGAGCTTGGAAGTCTCACCTCTGCATTGCCCTCGGCAGTTCACAAAGTACCTTTATTTCTACTGCCTCATGGCAGGAGGCCCAGGAAGCAGTAGTGGCTTTGCTCTAGAAATACCGCAGCAAGGCCCCCCAGACCAGAGGTCCATCCCCACTCTCACTTCCACAGCAGCCTGAAAACCACCAATGACTCGCGTCCAAGCCTTTAATCACTGCATTGTGTAAGTTTACATAATAAACCGAGGCTCTGTCTGAGTCTCACCTTCCAACTCTACTGTGCAATTTATTTGACCTTCTTGTGAACTGGCCCTGGTCTTGGTCTTTATCCAAAGACAACCTCCCTGCTCCCAGGCCCTAGGGCCAGCCCCCACCCCCCATGGTTGTCCTGATGATGAAATGTACAAATATGCTGCAGTCTTCTGGTTCTTGGTGAATGGTTTGTCAGATAGCCCAGGGGTCGGCAGCATCTAGAGTGTTGACTGTAGGCATGGCCAGGCCATTCCACAGGACATGGCCCTGTACCTGTCCTGAGGAATCCATTAGGAAGAGAGAAATCCAAATAGCAGGTCTCCTGGTCAGGGCCCAGTAATGCAGGGGCATAAATGACTTTCCTAGGCGCTTGGCTGTAAACTGCAAACTGTAGCAAAGTGCTGAGATTTCATCATAGAATAATCTGGGTGCTAGTGGGGCTGGTCTGGAAGGTGGTAGGGAGATCAGATGTTGCAGTAAGCGGGGCCAAAGGTGACTTGTGGAGAATTGGCAAAGGGATGGGCATGGAGAATGGGGCTCCTCCTGGTCTGGAGAGGGTGGTCCCGCAATGTCAAGAAGGCACTCTACTCTGCTGGGGAAATAGGTCTTCCTTAAAAGGGGACTCAGAACCAGGAAGACAACTCTTGATTCCAAATAACCTCTTCTCTTTCCAAAGGGCATTCCGTGAGGCTTGGGTTTGGGGATGTGGTCTTCTCATCCCTGGAGGAAATAGAAACTGCAGGGTCTCAGGTCTCAGGAGCTTCAGATCTGCAGGTGGCAGGACTTGGCCCTGGAAAGGGGGTGGGGAGGTTCTGTCCAATCCCAGGAACCCCTGCAGTCCCCTGGATGGGACCTAAAGGGCCGCTAGCCTCTGGGGAAGGGATTAGCTGGAGTGTAACGAATATGACCCTAGGGGTTGGAGAGGGCGTGCTAATTCCTTTTCCAGGTGTGGGTCCGGCCTCCACAAACAGCAGAAACCCAACATCCTCTCCAGCCTTTGTCCTGGGTGCTGTGCCCAGGATGGGGTGGGGAGGTGGCAGCACCTCTTTTTCTCTCTTTGTGTTCCAGGGAACTCGAAAGCCACTCCTCTCCCGGCTCTCTCCCAGGGTAGAAGTGGGTTTGGGGTGACTGCAGACAGCTCAGGTCTTTCCACCTTAAATTCACTGAGAGTCTGTACTGGAGCATCCCTGGAGTCTCGTTTCTCATTACAGCTCTCCCTGCCCCATTTGATGAACGTGGGCATTGAGGCCCCGGGAAAGAGGTCTGACTTGGCAGCAACCCTCCCCAACTTCCACCCCGTAGCGTACCGGCATGTTTGTGCCCTGCCCACGTGGGCAGACACCCGCAACCCAGATTCTGTCCAGGGGGAGGGTGAGAGAGCCTGATTGGCCTAAAGTTCTCCGGAGCCAACCAATGGGCAGGGAGGGCGTGGTCAGGGTCCTCTGCCTGTGTACGTTATTGGCTCCGGGCCCTGCTCGTTGGGTTTTTTTTTTTTTTTGGTTGTTCTACCTGCTGGTAGGTCCGCCCGCCGTCCCCACCACCGTCCCCACCATGGGCCTGGAGCTCTACCTGGACCTTATGTCCCAGCCCTGCCGCGCAGTCTACATCTTTGCCAAGAAGAACGGCATCCCCTTCCAGCTGCGCACGGTGGAACTGCTCAAAGGTGGGCAGGGCAGGGGGGCTGGGGAGTCTGGGCTCCGGGGTGCAGGCGGACCTCTGTCTCTCGGCACCGCTTAGGGGTCAGGCTGGGCATGTGGAAAGGCGAGAAGCATCAACTCTCCAGTGTGGAACCTGTTTCATCCGTTCCCATTTGTATTATTAAAGAACCCTAGTCTTTGCCTAGTGACTATAAGGCGTTCTTTAAAATACTGGATAAAGGGAGCAGAAGAGGACCCAGAGAGTGGGGCCGGAAGTATAGTGAGAGCCAGACTATGGCCCTCCCGTGTTGGAGAAAACGATTGAACTGCCCCCTCATTTCCTTAGTGGAGTTGTGTCTACATCTTCGGCAAAGAGACCCCCTTCCCCAGTCACCCCTGCCTAGGTTCCTTGCATTTTTACGTCTTCCTTGGCAGTTTTTAGCTTTTCTTTTTCTAACTAGTGATTTGCTCTTTGGTTTCTGGAGAGCTCTGTGGCAGAGCAGCGGGGGAGGCCAGCCCCCTGCCTGAGCTGCCGCACTGTGGTCTGCTTGACCTGCAAGACGCAGCTGGAGCAGAATCCAGAGGAGGAGGCAGGGCCCTGACTGGATAGCAGGGCAGGCACCAAGCCAGAGCCCCCCTGGGCAGCCCCCTGCTCAGCTGATTCCCTATCCTTACTGGGGCACCTCTGATACCCCCGTCTTGGGTCACCTGCAGTGGGGCAGGGGCTGGACACAGGCAGTTTTTGGAGGGAGAACTGGCAAGGCTGATGGTGTCTGTTTAGTACAAGGACCATGTGTAGCCCTCGGGGCAGGCTGAACCTTGGCTCCACCAAGGCCCTCCAACTCCATACGAATTAACTGGGCACCAGGGTCCTCTCCAAGCTGGCCTGGCCTGGAGGGTGAGCGATGTGGAAGTGAGCCAGACCTGGGAACCCCAATAAGAAGGGAGATTGGAGGGTCTGGCACTGGCAGGGAGAAAGTATTGAGCTGCTGGAGGCTGGGTGGCTCAAAGGGTCAAGTGTTACCGGGAAAAGGAAGGGTGGGCTGAGAGCTGGGAACAGGGGTGAGTGAGCTCAGCTGGCCTGGTCAGAAGGACCTGAGTCCCCACCAGAAATAGGAGGATGAATGTGAGGGGCAAACCTACAGCCCAGGTGGGGAGACTGGAGTGTTTAACCAAGGTTGGAACTGGCTGGGGCTGGCAGGTAGGTCACCCTGGCCACAAGCCCAGACTGAGATTCTGCTTGACCCAGGCTTCAAGGGCATGGACATAGGGCAGGTGGGCCACTGCTGGGGTCAGCATCAGTGATCCAGTGACCAGCACAGTGCCTGAATTTTTGGGGGATCTCAGAGGTCTTGGGGTTCTCCTCCCTGCTTGCTTGACTGTCTTTTCTACAGGCCAGCACTACACTGATTCCTTTGCTCAGATCAACCCCCTGAGGAAGGTGCCAGCCTTAAAGGATGGAGACTTCACCTTGGCCGAGAGGTAATAGATTCCTGGCCCACAGCTGTGTTAGCCAGCTGCTTGTGTCCATTGTTCAGGGCTGGGGCCACAGTTTGTTTGTTTGTTTATTTGTTTTTGAAACAGGGTCTTGCTATGTAGTTCAGGCTGGCCTTGAACTCACTCTGTAGCCCAGGCTGGCCTCAAACTAGGAGTGATCCTCCTGCCTCAGCCTCCCAGAGCTAGGATTACAGGTGTGTGGTCAGGGGCCACAATTTCTGCGTCCTGAGGACCAGTGCCATTCCCAGGGTAGAGAGTGGGCTGGAGCAGGCAGAAGTGCCTACTGCATTGTGCAGATGAGGAAACTAGGACTGGAAGAAGGGAGACCTCTACAAGGTTGGGGCCCATCCTGCTTCCAGGCCTCTTCCCTGCCAGCCTAAGCTTCAGAAGAAAAGAAGAAAAAAAGAAGTATGGAACAGTGGCTGCACCAGCCACTGCAGAGTGACTACTTCTGCAAATCCTGGGGGAGGTGCTATTTCCCTGGAGAAGCAAGGAACCACCCAGTGAGCTCAGTGGCTATTGGCTGAGCATCCATCAGCACTGGGCCACATTCAGTGGGGCTTGAACAGGGAACGTGTCTAAGGCTTTGCCTTGCTGGAGCTCACATTCTAGAGGGGAAGCTGACAGTAACCCACTCACACAGGTAAGAGGTCGGTGGCGAGTGCTACGGAGAAGACAGACAGGTGGGGAGGGGGTTGAATAAGCAGCAAAGGGAAGGCTCTTGAGAATTTGGCTTCTGAGCACAAATCTGCAGGAACCTGCAGGACTGAAGAGGTGTGTGGGGAAGCATGTTCTGACCGGAGGGAAAAGCAAGGGTGAAAGCCTTCAGGTGGGGCCATGATTGGGGCAGAGGCCAAAGAGTATCCGATTCGGCTTTGCTGGGGTGAGGGAGAGAAGCTAAGCAGGAAGGGAGGGCGGGGGTGGGTATGTGGCACAAGGAAGACGATGGTTTTTCCTGTGGATAGGTGCAACTAACAGGGTTTTGTTTGTTTCTTTTGCTTTTTGAGACAGGATCTCCTTTTCTAGTTTGGGCTGGCCTTGAACTCACTATATAGCCCAGGCTGGCCTTGAAGTTGTGGTGATCCTCCTGCCTCAGCCTCCCCAGTGCTGGGATTACAGGCGTGGGCCACCACACCCAGCCAATCGGGGGGGTTTTGAGCAGAGGAGAGCTGTGCTCAATCTATGTTTTAACAAATCCTCTGGCTGGGATGAGAAGGCTGCTGTGATAATCTAGGCACAAGGCACCCAGGCCCCAGCAAACTTGGTGGTGGTGCAGGGTGGGAATGATTGGCTCTGACCACTCCACCGTGAAGCAGAAGGGTGGGATATGGATAGGAAAGGTGGACCCAAGGCCTCCAGGTTGGTAGCTGAGTGGTAGTGATGTCCTCTACTGAGGCCACAGAGTACTTCAAGGGTAGAGCCAGATTCACACTTAGAGTCATTTGACGGCAGAGCCTGGGGTCAGTGGACTGTCTAACACCCAGGGAGGCATGATGAGCCCAAGGACCCAGGCTGCATGGGGCATATACGATGGGGAGAAGTGACGGGAGGAGGTCAGGGAGGGCTTTGTGGAGGAGGTGACTGGAAAGTTTGAGGAACTGGAGAGGAAGTGGGAAGTAGTTTCCGTGTCACCTGAGAGGCCTCTCCCAATTTCAGGAGAGTATGAGAGGGGCAGAGGCCTTGCTCCTGACTCTGTCTATCTTGTGGGTATGATGGGAGTAGTACTCAAGTTGCTCTCATTCTTTGCAACTCACACTGGGTGACCCTTCCTCCTAGATGCCTTCTCACAGGTCCTGGCTCCTGAAATCCTATATTTTGTTGCTCACTTGGTGTCCTCAGTGCAGATAATGGAATGGCCTGGTGTAGGGCTGTGTGAACCTGGGCTGCCTTCTAACATCTGTGAGCCTCACATTCCCCCTCTGCACAGTGTGAATAGTGAATATTACCCCCCAAAGCTGAAGGATGAGTGGAGCATGACTTCCACCGCTCCTCTATTCCCCCAGTGTGGCCATTCTGCTGTATCTGAGTCGCAAGTACAAGACCCCTGACCACTGGTATCCCCAGGACCTGCAGGCCCGGGCCCGGGTGGATGAGTTCCTGTCCTGGCAGCACACGGCCTTGCGGAGTTGCTGCTCACGGGCCATGTGGCAGAAGGTGAGCCAGGGAGGCCGGGGCACCTCGTGGGGAGCTCCAAGAAGGGTGCTTTCTGTTTTCAACATCAGACCCAGGCCCTTAGAACGCCAAGTCCCAGGAATGCCAGAGACTGCCAATCATAATGTTTATGAACAAGTACTTTAGCTGTATCTCGCTGGATTCACACAAGTCCCACCTGAGCAATTTGGGGTGCAGTTGAGAGGTGGCTGAGGAGTAGGGACAGAATGGCTGTTGCACTGGGGAGGGCTCCGAGTGGGGGACCTTGGAAGCCTTTAAACTGGAAAGGGTGAGGAGACATCCAGAGGACTGGTGGATGGTTGGGGTGAGGGTGGGATAAAGGATGGGATTTGTGGAGAGTCTCCCCTTACCCTCTCCCAGGGATTGAACCAAGCCTTCACTCTGGACTACATCCCCAGCCCTATTTCATTCCTTATTTTAAGACAGGTTCTCACTAAATTGCTCAGGTGGGGCTTGACCTTGTGATCCTCCTTCCTCAGCTTCCCACAGTGAGTATAGGCTTGTGCTGCCGTGCTTGGCTCTGACTCTGTCTCTGCTGGCCCACCAGATGATGTTCCCTGTTGTGATGCGTCAGCCAGTGCCCCAGGAGACGTTGCTGTCCACTTTGGCTGAGCTGGACAGCTGCCTGCAGCTGCTCGAGGACAAGTTCCTTCGAGACCAGGACTTCCTCACTGGTCCCCAAATCTCTGTGGCTGACTTGATGGCCATCACAGAACTGATGCATGTGAGTGCCATGGCGGGGGCGTGTGGCTTGCTGAACAGTAGGGAGTCCTGGGAAGGGGCTGACTTCCCCACTTATGTCAACTTTTCTGGTTGTGGGACCCTGGAGGACCTTCAGTCTCCTCGTCTATAAAATGAACCCTCATAAGCTTCACTTCGGGATACAGGTAGCTTGCCAAGGTCCCCTGGGAGAGGCATCCCCAACCCATCACGCGTAGTGGAGGTGGGAAAATCCTACCAGAGAAACCTAAAGCACGCTGTGCTACCCTGCGTTTGGCTGTGCCCAGTGCCTCCACCTGGCTCCCTCTCCCTTAGCCTGTCAGTGCTGGCTGCCAGATCTTCGAAAGCCGACCCAAGCTGGCCGCATGGCGCAGGCGTGTGGAGGCCGTGGTGGGGGAAGACCTCTTCCGGGAGGCCCATGCAGTTGTCCTGAAGGCCAAGGACACACCTCCGCTGGACCCTGCGATGAAGGAGAAGTTTCAGCACTTAATGCGGCTTTTGTTGCAGTGAGCAGCTGGCCTGGGCCTGTGAAGCCACCAAGGGAAGGGCTGGGTTGTTGGAATAAAGCAACGGGGCTGGGGCTGGGGATTCAGCTCAGCTGCACAGCGTCTGCCTGGCAAGCGCAAGGTTGTGAGCTCAGTTCCCGGTACCAGAAAAAATAAATAAATAAATAAGTAAATAATGCCACAGGACTGCCTGACTCCTTGTGTGTGGGTTGGACATGTCCACAGGTCTCTGGTCCACAGTTCCCTCCAGACATCATGGTGCCATTCCGTTGTGTCCTCCCTCATCTGACTTCCACATCTGACTTCCACATGCCTTTGGGGAGAACTTTAGTACATGCTTAGGTGGCCTTGTCCCTCTTCTTTTGAAACATTCCACACAAAACCCCCAAATGATTGTAAAAGTCAATTTAAACTAACCAATGCTATCTGCTTCTGTAACTTCGCTTGCAAAGGCCCGCCTTTGTGGTTTTTGGGTTTAAAAGCCGGACTTAACCCCAGCTCGGCGCTCTCTGTTCCTGCGTGTTCAGTTAGCCCCACGCATGCCTGGTAAATAAACTCCCCTTGCTTATTGCATGAGAGAGCGTCTCTTAGAGTCTTCCTTCACGCGGCGAGATTCTCGACCCTTACACGCTTAGTCCTGACTACTGTCTTCTTCCTCCCCTACTGTTGCTCCCAGATTTGTCACCCGTCCCTGCCGTTTCCTCTCAAGACTCTCACGACCTACCTTGTCTTTGTAACCCAAGGCCCCCTGACATGTGATATCTGATAAACTGTTAACAGGACAGGGAAGGTCACAACAGAACTTCTCCTGGCCTCCCTGACTTCCTGGAGTATTTATAGTAATTTATACGTGCGATTGGATCTGTTCATAGACACTCCCGGAATTTTAATACCGTATTTGAAAATCCCAACTCAATTCGGAAAACCACCACCACTCTGCCTGGAGCGGGTGGGGCCGGTCCTTGATGAGACTAAGGTCTGGTAGGGGGCGTGCCCACAGAACTTCGGGAAATCAGAGCTAGCGCACCTGTCCAGTCTGCAGAGGCGGGAATGTGGTCCGGGCAGCCAATTGGGGAGCGGTGAGTCTGCTCAGCCAATGAGGAACCTGCTTGCCGTGGCGCTCCGCCCCTACTCCGTGTTGCGCTACAGTTTGGAACATCTAGCTCTGCTCTGAGCTCTTGGCCGCCGCTCTCGCCGTCAATCTCCCAGTCTTGCCTGACAGCCGACCACTGAGCTGATAAGAACTCGGCCAACCGCCAGCCCACGGGGCTGGAGAAACGGCCCTGCGCGGCCCTCCGGGACAAACCCGAGGACGCGGGCGAGGATTGGGGTTCCCTGGGCAAGGGTGGGTTGGGGACCAGTAGCCAGGTTCTGTCCTCGCCTCGCCTTTCAAGTGACCTGGACTCTTTTCCCTAAAGACCTGGAGTTCTCCCGCCAACCTTGAACTTCCGTGCCTCTGATTCCGGGCGCCTGCCTTTCCGTTGCCCGTCCTAACCCTCTGCACCTATGACCCCGATCTCACCTCCGAGAAACCCAGCCGCTCTCCTGCTCTGCTCTCTGCTCTGCACTGCTGCTCCGCGGGCCCTGGTTCCACACGCTAGCCTGGTTGCTCCAGCTTCAGGTGAAATTTTCCTGTCCCCCGTAGCGTGTGACTGTGAAGGTGCGGGGCTGATTTGACGGTGGCGCTGTGTGGATCCACAGAGCCCTGCGTGCATTTGCTCCTGCCCTCCATCTGCGTGGTGGGCACAGCTCAGCAGATCCCGGGCCAGGGCGCCGGCTTCTTCGAGTTCCTCACCAAGGAGATGGTCCTGAGTCCAGACCAGTGCACAACAGGAGTGAGAGGACCTGTTTGGAACTGCTGTGTGATCAGAAGTAATGATCCTGCCTCCTGGCACCTGCATAAAGTGGAGAAAAAATTACACTCCTTACTTTGTCCAGGAAGGGACATGCATTCAAGGCGTGGTGCCCTGGGTCCCTTGGCTCCTGTGTCTTGTTGAGCAGCTATGTTCAGGGTGAGGTCAGAGTTGAATAACTTCCTGGTTTTGCAGTGGACCCTGTAGTTCAAACCAAAAGCCAGAAAATAAATTTATTGGGGGTCTTAGAAATTGCAACTGGGCAGATAGCTCTGAACAAGTGTTCTGAGGAAGGATGAGCATGCACTAGTGAAAACTTTTGTAGGAATCTTCTTTGAGAAAGAACAGAGGCTGTTTGAGAGATAAAAGGTAAAGGAAGTGTATACTTAGTAAAACTACCCATAAAACAAGTCTAATAACCTTGACATGCATCTGCAGTCTCTGGGCACAGTGTAATTATCCAGTGGTTCAGGGTCAAATCATTTCACATCCTAGTGGTCCAAGGGTAGATGTGACCTATGTATGTACTGTATTCCTAAATAACAGCTTTGGAAGTACATAGGTCCTGCTTCCATTTTTCTGAGTCCATTTTGAAACGTTCTCTCATCTTTGAAATATCAAATTGAGATTTTCATTCTCTGCAGTCTACACACTTAATAAAGTTCGTTTCTAATAGACTATGCCTATTGTGTCTGTACCTGACCATTCAAAGCTAGAATTTGGGATTGCTTTCCTTGACTCACTGTCTCAACTGTTACAGTGTTCATTCCTCCTGCCAGGGTGTTCCATGAATGTCTGACTTCCAGCATGGCTTGGAGGTTGTGAATGAATGGCTGCAGTACCTGAGGGTGGAATTGAGGGCTAACTCTCAGGACTGAATGTCGGACCCAGTGGCACAGGCCTATGATCCTAGCACTGGAGAGGCTGAGGCAGGAGATGAGTTTGAGGCCAGCCTGGGCTATAGAGTGAGTTCAAGACTAACCTGGACTACATAACAAACAAACACACACAAACAAATCTATTGACTCCACCCTAGTGATGCTAGCTATCATCTGCTGGTTTAGTGAACTGATCCTTCCCCACCTCGCTAGTATTCTCTTCTCGTACAGTGACCCTAAGCTTTTTCGCCTGGTAAAACTGTGCTACCCCAGGCTCTGGCATGGTCTGTACTGTTTTTCCCCTTTGAACCATGGTCACAAAGCTCCTACTTGTTTTGACTGCATTTCCCAACTTTTATCAAAGTTTTCCCTCAAATGGATCTCTGAACATACAACTCAGGGGTGGGCGCTGGATTCAAGGTGCACATCCTCTATGGACTTTTTGAATCTACCTGTTTCTGGGGTTGGGGATTTAGCTCAGTGGTGGAACGCTTGCCTAGCAAGCTGGAAGCCCTGGGTTCGGGCCTCAGCACCAAAACCAAAAAACTAAAACCCATCTGAAAACAAAGAAAATCGAATCTGTCTGTTTCTGCTCTTCACCCCACCTTGTAGGCTATAGATTTCTCAAAGTCAAGGTTGGCGACTCAGTCATTTTTGTACCTCTTGTCATCAGTAAAGCTTTTTTTTTTTGTCTTTTTGAGACAGGGTCTTCCTATGCAGTTCAGGTTGCCCTTGAGCTCACTTTGTAGCCCAGGCTGGCCTCGAAGTCACAATGATCCTCCTGCCTCAGCCTCCCGAGTGCTGGGATTACAGACGTGTGCCACCACGCCCGGCCAGTAAAGCTTTTTTATATTGAATTTAATGAGTTATTCAGCCTGATTTTACTATCGTTAGTTAATTATTAAAATCAGATTTTATTGGTATATTTTAGACATACATAATGATTGCATTCATTGGATAATTTTTTTGTTTTTGTTTATTTTTGGTGGTACTGGGGATTGAACTCAGGGCCTTGTGCATGCTAGGCAAGCACTCTACTGCTGAGCTACATCCCCAGCCCAAGAATTTGTACCTGTATATGATATAACTTGATTTTTTCCCATTCCCCTATGTTCCCCATTTACAAAAGCTTTATTTCCACTTTTTCATTATTTTCTCTCTCTCTCTTTTTACTTTTTCCTTCTTAATATTTGAGATGGGGTCTCACTATGTAGTTCAGGCTGGCCTTGAACTCATGGTGATCCTCCTGCCTCAGCCTCTCGGGTGAGGGGATTACAGGTGTGTGCCACCATGCCCAGTTTACTTTATTATTTATTTAGAGATAGGGTCTTGCTATGTAGTCTAGGAAACCCTGAACTTGCTATGTAGCCCAATCTGCCCTCCAACTCGAAAGGCCCCTTCTTTAGCCTCTGGAGCTGGGAATTTTAAAATTTTTTTTTATTTATTTATTTATTTATTTATTTATTTATTTATTTGTCTTTTCTTTTTGAGACAAGGTCTTGCCATGCAGTTTAGGATGGCCTTGAGCTCACTTTATAGCCCAGGCTGGTATTGAACTCACACCAATCCTTCTGCCTCAGCCTCCTGAGCGCTGGGATTACAGGTGTGCACCATCACGCCAGGCGCTGGGCATCTTTTTTAAAAAATATTTTTAATTAGTATATGTTTGCAATACATGGTGATTACATTTATCTTGGAGGATTGATATATATCATATCGTATTTTGATAATTTCTACCTTCCTCCCTTAGTTTTTTAAATTTTTAACATTTTGCTGGAGTAGCGCTCGCCCGTAATCCTAGCTACTCAAAGAGGTTGAGGCAGGAGGACTGCAATTCCAGCCCAGTCAGGATAATTTATGCGGAACCTGTTTCAAAATAAAAATAAAATAAAATAAAAAGGGCTGAGGATGTACGTCATGGGTAGCTTGCAATTCTTAGTACAAAAGAAGTATTTAAAAATTGTCTTTCAGGTAAAAAAAAAAAAAAAAGCCATAATTTTCATTCTTATTTAACAAACCCCTATGAATTTGATTAAATTCCACAAGGTGGAAGCCCTTTCCTAAAACGCTTTATAAGAAGCCCTTAACTCTGGAACCTCTTTTCGGGGCGAATTCTAGAACCCCCTCCCCGCCATTCATTTATGGGGTCTTGTTATTGTTTTGATCGTTTGTGTCCGTTGGGCCTCAACTCTTTTGGGGAGGAGGTGAGATACGGGTGATTGAATGAACAAGGAAGCTCTTCAGCCCTTAGTTCCATCTGAGTGTTCCCCAAATTTCCTCCCCTTTCAGAGCACTTGTCCCACAGCATAACGAGAACACACAGCCCCTCACTAAGCGACTGCTCAGGGCCAGGCGGCCTCCAACTACTGGAAATCAGACCGCGAGCTTCCACTGAACGCCCCGGAGCGCGGCTACCCTGAGCAACAGTTGGGAACCGGGGAGCTTCAAGCTCAGCCGTCTACGCGCGCCGGGCGGATCTAAGGGGCGCACCCTGCAGGGCCGAGTGAGCCAAACGGCGGGCGAGAGCAGCGTACGCCAGCGCTGATTGGTTAGCAGAGCCGGCAATCGAGCCAATGGGAACGCGCCTTATTGTCAGGCGCGCTGCCGACTCGTGCGGGGGTCGAGGAGCACGGGCGGTTGCCTAGGAGACGCCGGGTGAGTACCTGGACTGCACCTTCGGGGGCGGCTCGCGGGTGGGGGCGCGGCTCGTGAGAGCCGGAGCGCGGGCCGGGGGCGCTGCCAGCCGAAGGCCGAGTCACGTGAGGACGCTGGAGTATTCCTCCGCATCCCGAGCGCCAGTGTGGGAAACCGGGGCCGGAAAGCCAGCAGGACGCAGCGGGGCCTGTG